TGAATGTTAAATATGAACCACTGAGCGTCTAGTACCAGCTACTGAGTGTTAAATATGAACCACTGAGCGTCTAGTACCAGCTACTGAATGTTAAATATGAACCACTGAGCGTCTAGTACCAGCTACTGAGTGTTAAATATGAACCACTGAGCGTCTAGTACCAGCTACTGAATGTTAAATATGAACCACTGAGCGTCTAGTACCAGCTACTGAATGTGTTAAATATGAACCACTGAGCGTCTAGTACCAGCTACTGAATGATAAATATGAACCACTGAACGTCTAGTACCAGCTACTGAACCACTGAACTACGTCTAGTACCAGCTACTGAATGATAAATATGAACCACTGAACGTCTAGTACCAGCTACTGAATGTTAAATATGAACCACTGAGCGTCTAGTACCAGCTGCTGAGTGTTAAATATGAACCACTGAACGTCTAGTACCAGCTACTGAATGTTAAATATGAACCACTGAGCGTCTAGTACCAGCTACTGAATGTTAAATATGAACCACTGAGCGTCTAGTACCAGCTACTGAATGTTAAATATGAACCACTGAGCGTCTAGTACCAGCTACTGAATGTTAAATATGAACCACTGAGCGTCTAGTACCAGCTACTGAGCTAGCGTCTAGTACCAGCTACTGAATGTTAAATATGAACCACTGAGCGTCTAGTACCAGCTACTGAGTGTTAAATATGAACCACTGAGCGTCTAGTACCAGCTACTGAATGTTAAATATGAACCACTGAGTGTCTAGTACCAGCTACTGAATGTTAAATATGAACCACTAAGCGTCTAGTACCAGCTACTGAATGTTAAATATGAACCACTGAGCGTCTAGTACCAGCTACTGAATGTTAAATATGAACCACTGAGCGTCTAGTACCAGCTACTGAATGTTAAATATGAACCACTGAGCGTCTAGTACCAGCTACTGAATGTTAAATATGAACCACTGAGCGTCTAGTACCAGCTACTGAATGTTAAATATGAACCACTGAGCGTCTAGTACCAGCTACTGAATGTTAAATATGAACCACTGAGCGTCTAGTACCAGCTACTGAATGTTAAATATGAACCACTGAGCGTCTAGTACCAGCTACTGAATGTTAAATATGAACCACTGAGCGTCTAGTACCAGCTACTGAATGTTAAATATGAACCACTGAGCGTCTAGTACCAGCTACTGAATGTTAAATATGAACCACTGAGCGTCTAGTACCAGCTACTGAGTGTTAAATATGAACATATGCCGCTGACTGATTCTATCATTTTAGCAGGTAATTGTTCGATTTAAGCCCGTAATTGTTCGAATTATGCCAGTAATTGTTCGATTCAAGCCACTGACCTTTCGATATGAGACAATGACCGTTGAAGGTTCAGAACAAGCCTCTGGTTGTTCGATTTTATTGTCAAAACATTATTATTACTATTTAAAATATGCCACGGACTGTTCAATACGAATCATTTATTGTTCAATATGAACCACTCATTGAGTGATTCAGTACTGAATCAGGTACGTATGTGCGCACAACAGGGAATTTTGCCAGTGTTTAGGGGTATTAAGATACTAAGTGTTAGCTGAATGAGTGAGTGAGTTTAGTTTTACACAGCTTTTACCAATATCCCAGCAATATGTCCCCAGATACCCTGTCGTAGTCAACTCACTGTACAGCTACTACGAGCGGACCAGCCCTTGTTTTAATCCCTTATGCCGAGCACCAGGCAAGAAAACAACAAGTACCATCTTTTACGTATGTTGGTGTGACGCTGCCGGGGTCGGAACCTCGGACTTTCTGCTCCATTGCCAGAACACCTTCCCACTACACCACGGAGGTGAACCCATGAAGAGTACCTCATTACAGGTAAAGTAAGTTTATGGAGTGACAAGCGAACATTGTAAGGTATAGGTTACCCAATAAAAACACGTACCCAGTGAACACCTGCCTGGCATGGCCACTACGTCGGTTCACACGCGAATGTTACCACGACGTCGAGAAGGAGCCGGGTGTTTACTCGGTGTGGTTGCGTGCAAGGTGCGTCGTTTGTGCATGTCTCAGCAAGTGACAATCTATCATTACTTCGCAGGGCTCCCATTAACGGAGAGGTCATACTGACCTACTGAAATATTAAAACAGTCCCGACATTGGCTTTTACTTAATCATACAAGACCGGGTAAAGCAAACATGGTTTTAAGATCAACGGGGGGTTGGTGTACTTAGAACCGATAGCGAAACCTATTGATAGTATTACTAATGGCGCGCTTGCTCCCTTTCTGCGCATGCGCATGACTGAAAACTGGGGGAATCACTCACGCCACGTATGAATATATTACGTCAACGCGAGGAAATCATCTCTCTTGGTTATTTGGCGGAACAGTTGCCTCTGGGAGTAAAAGTGAGTGAGTGAGTATGGTTTTACGCCGCTTTTAGCAATATTCTAGCAATATCACAACGGGGGACACCAGAAATGCGCTTCACACATTACACCCATGTGGGGAAGCGAACCCGGGTCTTCGGCGTGACGAGCGGACGCTTTAACCACTAGGCTACCCCACCGCCCCCAAATACAAGCCTGGACTAACCTAAATGTGAATGTGGTGGTGAGTGGTGGAGTACCCTATTGATAAGTTTTTGCTCGTCACGTCGAAGACATTGGTTTTAATCCCAACGAAAATAAGAGTGTGTTAAATTGGGTAGTCTAGTGGTTTAGCGTTCCCTTGTCACGCTGATCACATGAGTTTGAATCCAAACGTATATAGTCGGTGGGTGGTTGGGGTAGCATAATGGTTAAGTGTTCGCCCATGACGCCGAAGGCATGAGTTTGAATCCAAACGTAGATAGTCGGTGGTTGGTTGGGGTAGCATAATGGTTAAGTGTTCGCCCATGACGCCGAAGGCATGAGTTTGAATCCAAACGTAGATAGTCGGTGGTTGGTTGGGGTAGCATAATGGTTAAGTGTTCGCCCATGACGCCGAAGGCATGAGTTTGAATCCAAACGTAGATGGGCAGTTGTGGTGGGGTTATTAAACTGGTTACATTTTCGCTCGTGAAACCGGTGACATGACATTTAATCCAATCGTGCTCATTTATGTTTGTTTTCACACATACCGAAGCACATTCACAAGGCTTTGTAATTGTGTTGAGCTCCTGCTATGCTTAATAATCTCCAACTTCTTACATTCTTTTTCTTGGTTGAGCGGAGCAATGTCGGTACGAAATGTGAGGTCTCAAGAAGTGCAATGTAAAACCGATCGTTACAAAGTCTACAAAAAAAGAGTTCCAGCAACGTTTAATTTGCCTTGCGTCGAATGTGTTCTCAGCCAGTCGTGCATGAAGTTGCAGTCGAGCATGCAGTCGTGACACAACTGATGACAGTAATTGCTGCCATGGTCGACGCTGGTTTGTGCAGAAACGATACTGTGAAACTCGGTACTTGCTGTCTTGCTAGAAATCCTGAGTTATGTCAGTGAAAGATATTAACTCGTATCGTTTACACGAAAGCCGTATCACGTTGCAAGCTCCAGGAATAAAAAGTCCCCATGCCAAAGGGAAGGCAGCAGAGAATCCAGGAAGGGGTAACACAATATTCCTGTTTCCAGACGGTCACACGGTGGCAGAAGCAGACACGACATCAGATAACTCATTGAAGTGGTGAGTGAGTGAGTTTAGTTTTACGCCGCTTTCGGCAATATTCCAGCAATATCACCAGAAACGGGGACACCAGAAATGGGTTCACTGAAGTGGGCACGGATCTTAAACTGATGACTGAGTGAGTGAGTTTAGTTTTACGCAGCACTCAGCAATATTCCAGCTATATGGCGGCGGTCTGTAAAAAATCGAGTCTGGTCCAGACAATCCAGTGATCAACAGCATGAGCATCGATCTGCGCAATTGGGAACCGATGACATGTGTCAACCAAGTCAGCGAGCCTGACCACCCGATCCCGTTAGTCGCCTCTTACGACAAGCATGGGATACTGAAGGCCAATTCTAACCCGGATCTTCACGGGTCCTTAAGCTGATACACCTCATTGGCGGCATAATAGAATATTACAGCATAATAGTGGCTACCTATATCAACTATTGGTAACAAGTATTAGAACAGCTATAGCACTGAAACAAGCGTTTGAACAGCTATGTCACGGGTGTCTGTAACAAGCGTTAGAATAGCTATGTCACGGGTGTCTGTAACAAGCGTTAGAATAGCTATGTCACGGGTGTCTGTAACAAGCGTTAGAATAGCTATGTCACGGGCGTCTGCAACAAGCGTTAGAATAGCTATGTCACGGGTGTCTGTAACAAGTGTTAGAATAGTTATCTCACGGTGCACCTATATCACAACGGCCCTCACATCATGATAACTGCAGTAAGCTTATCAATTATTTTTTAAGTTTGCATGTTCACCAGACACAACCTTGGCCCCTACGACCCCTGTAATCAACATCGGTCACAGAATACGTCTCCAAAACAAAACAGGTCACATCTTATATCTTATACCCAGAGCAATCTCACGACGTCACGGGCCCATCAATGACAGATACAGAGGGAGAGCGCAAGATTAACGGAGTATTTGCGTTGATATTTTTTCCAACTAATGTTTAGGTGCTAATGTAAAAAACTTGGGGGTTAAAACTCAAGACTGCAGACTCTTTCAGTGTTGTCACAACCCCTAGTGTTCAGTACAGAAAAGTGTGAGTGAGTGAGTATGGTTTTATCAAGGGGGCACCAGAAATGGGCTTCAAACATTGTACCCATGTGGGGAATCGAACCCGGACCTTCAGCGTGACGGGCGGACGCTTCAACCACTAGACTACCCCATCGCCACGTGAGTGTGAGTGAGTACAAGTATATTCAGTTTGAAAAGCCAAAGTAATCTGTCAACATTCCACGTGAATCATAACATAAGTCAATATTCAGCCTCTCAAACAATTACCGGGAGACCCTGACAATGGCAAGTGTTCAGGCCGCGAAACCCAAGTACATGTGTACTCACCACCGCTACTGGCCCACTGTGTCAGTCTGGCTTCACAGTACACATCGTCCGTCGGCTACCTGCAACACAGAAACACTCGTTAACTGACTGACTGACTGACTGAGTTTGGTTTTACGCCGCTTTTAGCAATATTCCAACAACATCACGGCGGGGGACACCAGAAATGGGCTTCACACATTGTGCCCATGTGGGGATTCGAACCCGGGTCTTCGGCGTGACGAGCCAACGCTTTAACCATTAGGCTACCCCACCGCCCCAAAAACACTCGTTAACAACAGTTGGAGCACAGGAATACTGTTAACAACAGGTGCGGCACGGAAATACAAGTTAACAAGTTTTACGCCGCTTTTGGCAATATTCCAGCAATATCACGGCGGCGGACACCAGAAATGGGCTTCACACATTGTACCCATGTGGAGAATCGAACCCGGGCCTTCGGGCTGACGAGAACGCTTTAACCACTAGGCTACCCCACGGCCCCTTCAAGTTAACAAGAGTTAGGGCACGACATTACAAGTTTACAACAGCCAGGGTACAAGAATACATGTTTAAAACAGTTGGGGCGATAAGAATGTATACACGTGTACAGCAGTATCAGATCACCCTGACCCACCCTAACGGATCGGCTGTTGATACTGTCGTCATCGTAACAACATGTCAGATACACCAGCCGTATGTTTATGCCGGCCCACGGCGAGGAGGTCCCAGCGACGTCTTTGAGTCTGGTCCATCTCCCCCTAATCAGAATCTACACGCATCACAATGTTCCTGCGTCCATCTGCACGTAGCCTAAAGCTTAGTCCCTGAATATGTTAAATTTTGTAACAAATTAACCAATTAAAATTGAAAACGAGCCCCAGTGAGTTGGGAGATTGCTGGGGAAATCTAGACTTGGTCATTTAGGGCTTTAGCATTGCAGGGAGGGCAAGGCTGTAGGGTAAATAATGAGGTTCTGGGACTGTGAGACACGCTAATATGCACACTGTCCCGTCCGCATTTCTCCTTGACAGCACTTTTATTGTAATCACGTGATCACCGAGGAGGGGGAACTGACCACTGTCCAGTACTAATTCTCCGATGGACACATTTAGAATCTACAAGTGAACAAACGTGCTTCTAAGCGGCAGCATTAACTAAAGAGGCCGCTAACGACGTGGGAATGGGGGAATCAAAGGTTAAAAGGGTGGCAGTAGTCTAGGGTTGCAGTTAAAGGTTAGGATGTTGGGGATGTTGGGCGAGAATTATCATAAGCGTTTTAAAATCGTTATTTCGTTCACAATCAGGAGAATATAGTGAGCAATGTTCTCGCAACACAAGACACATAAGACCAAGAGGGGCTCAGTATTTTTATCCACGGGGAGAATCGAACCTAGGACTTTCACGTGGCGAGGGATTCCACAACAAAGCTTCACTGTTTTATCAATTTCCGTTGAAATTTATTACCATAAGTCACGAAAAAAGAGAACCCGTCAGCATCCGCGTAAGTATTTGGGTGTACTATATTCAGCATGCAATTCGTCCTGGCTGGAACCGTAAACAATATATTTATCCACAAATCCTTTGGTCAATCGAGAGGAGTGGCTGATTAATAGGGCAATCAGCTTGTGTTCTCTACATAGTATACTAATCGCACCGAGACATGCCCATCCTGTTGGAAAAGAGCAGGCTGAACAGCTTTATCACTTTTACAATGAATGTCAATACGTAATAAATGAAATTGAATTATTTAACCGAAGACGAGCGCTGAAATGCCAGGCCATACAACAGAACCCCGTGGACAGATCATAAACGATCGTGACGAGAGTCTACCCTTCGGGCATCGCGCTTCCCTGGCAGTTCAAGTTAATCTTCCACTCTTGAAAACATAATGCGTGATTAATTGAACAATGAGTGTTTTCTATTATCTGTCAGAGTTCCTTCCTCATGAACCACAGAGCCCGAAGAAACGAGGATAAGGAAGGGATTTCAAAGGTATTGAAGACAATGACATGTTAATAGATCATTAATACCCAAGAACACGCCAAAGAGACTGCATACTTTAATACCCATTCTTGAAGCGCATTCAAAGCAACGTTTACAAGGCATAGATTGAATTTCAACAGATGACGACTGTCTTCGATAATACAATAACGAGCTTAGACACAACATACAAGGCTTATTAGGGACTTGAAATAACGCTGAAAGCAAGAATTAGTTTTGGGTTAACCTCGCTTTGGTTAGCATTTCTATTAAATCACGGTGTTCAGTTTTTAAGTGTGTTCAGCTTGGAGCAGATGCAGCTTTTAGAGTGAGTGAGTTGGGTTTAACGCCGATCGACCAATATTCCACCCACAGAGGACAATGCCAAGCCATGATAGGCACAGCATGGTGAGAGGAAACAATGGCGACGTGTTTGGTATTGTTGTCGCGTCTCCAGGCAACGTGGGCTAACCTCAATCTCTGGCAACATGGCCACACCACAGGTCCCAGACAGGTCCCGTTTGACCTCGCACCATCAGCCCCGTCGAGATTACCGCACAGCCATACAGCAAATTATAGGCATATTGTACCATCGATTTGGTGCAGGATGGTGCTTAGTGTTGGGATTAAGCAACACAAAGTCGCTAGCGGCCAAGATCCCGTAATCTTGATAGCTCCATTCCTAATCCGTTTCATGAGAATGGCTTTGTTCAGAATGCATGTGTCACAGAGACTGGGTCACGTACCATCTGTTTGATTATCCTCTCGTCACGGTTGGTCGTCACGAGTGTCATTTGACAGCCCGCTCTGCCTGGTAATAATATTGGCGTCAGCGTTGGAACACACCGTCATGACCCGTGTGGTAATTGTTGCAATGACATAGATCCCTATCATTGTTAACGACACACACCTCGTTGCGTTATCGATGTCATGGTTATCATTGTAATGAGTTAGTTACCGACGTCGTTGTAATAACGGTGCTTGTTGCCGACTTCGTTTTAATAACAGTCCTATTGGCCGTAACAGTACTACGGACCGTCAACGTTGTCATGGCAATAAGCTTTGTGGTTATCAAAGAAAACGACGGTGATCTTGCAGAGGTAATTGATTATGTCAAAGCTGCACTGACCTTGCCGTGTATCAGCGTTATTGTTTTCATAATCCATGGTATCCCATAATGGCTTCCGCATTTATCAGCCACGATTTACACACACTACGTCCTCGTCCGCCATGTTGCTTACATTTTCGAAAAGTGCACACTCACGCCAGACCATGAAACTCACGGACAATCAAGGAAATGGGAACAATTGTTTCATGCAGTTTCGATGCAAAACACTACTTATACTGCATGGTATTCTTTTGTCAGCCATGGGTGGCCGGGTGGTATAAGGGGAGACAATTCGCTGTGCAGAGTAGCTTCCATTAACCGTGCCATGGTCCGCTGATTGTAATGAGTGAGTACGGTTTTCCGCCGCTTTAAGCAATATCCCAGCAATATAACGGCGGTGTACACCAGAAATTGGATTTAGACATTGTACCCATGTGCGGAATCGAACCCGGTTCTTCGGCGTGATGATCGAACGCCTTAACAACTGAGCTACCCTACCACCCCCACTAATTGTAAACTGATTATTACAGTCTTTGTCCCACCGTCATCCATTAACAGGGTACAACATTTTGTCTTACAGAGTTGCGCCCCTTTCATGTTTCTCAAAAGAAACCGCCTCCGTGGTGTAGTGGTTAGAGCGTCCGCTCCGAGAGCGGAAGGTCGCGGGTTCGATCCCCGGCCGCGTCATACCAAAAGATGTTTAAATATGGTACTTGTTGGTCCCTGCCTGGCGCTCGGCATTAATGGGTACATCAAGGACTGGTCGGCTCGGAGTCAGTATAATGTGTCTGATTGGGGTATTCATGCTTCACTGCGGCATGGTATCTCAGTGGCCATAAAGTTCAAAACGGCGTGAAACCAGTAACAGACTTTGAAAAATGGGAGTCATGGTGATTCACAATATCTATTTTTGGGAGTCATTTTCAATATCTGGGAGCCATAAAAAATTCATATTTCTTTGAGTAATTCAAAGAGCAAGAGTTTTGCAAAGATTTCATTGTTTTATGTTGTATTGTCATTTATATGATTAATTAATAAGCAGTAATATTTCCACTGTTAAATTCAGTCATAACAAACTCAAGTATACTGAACAAATATTTGCGCTTGCGATTTATTCACTGTAACGTACAGTTATTAACATGAACCGAAAAAAATACCTTTAGCATGAAAAACGTAAGACTATTACTGACAACATTTGTGAACTTTGTAACATGTTATCATTTGCAAAGGTGAGTCCCAACAGATCCCTTCATTGGCATGATATTTGTATTAATCATTCTCTGAATGCAACTACAGCCTAGGAGATGCTTGAGGGGCATTTAGAAGTTGGTGAATATATAAGACAAGGATATGGATGGCAACTTCTTACTGTCACCTCTGAGTTCTTTGGAACAATCTGACAGTTCTGTCAAAGTCAAACTATCATCGAAAACTATCATTGTTTGCTTATAAAATTGATTTTATTGAACTGAATTCTGAGGGTCACCCATAAAGCTTGCGTCAAGCTTGACTCGTATGATAATATTTTGAGAGTTAATGTTTGCGTCAAATACGCACGAATCATGCGTCATGTAAAACTCTGCTACACATACATGACACCACTAACCGTTACGGACAGGATCCAATCTACGCTGTAAAGAGCTACTAAAAAACCTTGTGCAGGTGTTACATGTTTATAAACATCGTTATCTACTATCCCTCCGCTATGGCGGTGCGCCTAATTAATATACATCATGTCCTTTACATAAATACTATACCACTAACCGTTACGGACAGGACCTACTAAAAAACAGGTGTTACGTAACATAAACATCGCTATCTACTGGCCATCCGCGTCTAATTAACATGCATCTTGCCCTTAACGGGGAATAGATTACCATCATGAATATTTACTGTGGAACCTGTTCAGGTGTCATCGCGACATTTCATCATTGACTGCAGACAGTAAGTCTGGCTGATTTGTCTGGCATTTGCGGTTTTACGAACAATATG